AAACCCTAAACCCTAAACCCTAAACCCTAAACCCTAAACCCTAAACCCTAAACCCTAAACCCTAAACCCTAAACCCTAGACCCTAGACCCTAGACCCTAGACCCTAGACCCTAGACCCTAGACCCTAGACCCTAAACCCTAAACCCTAAGCCCTAGACCCTAAACCCTAAACGACAGATCTCAGCACACAGCACAGCCGTCAGGAGGGCTGCCCACCGAACCCAAAGAGCCGGAGGGTTTGACGAGGGGTCAAAGGGTTTTTTACCCTGTAGCCCCGCGGAGGCCAAAGTGCGGCGTTTGTGCGCCTTGTCGGACAGCTGTGCGTTGTGAGAGTGAGGCACTCGGCCGACAAGAGAGCGAGAAGAGTCCCTCGAGTCAGCCGTCCTCTCGACTGCTGCGGTGCGGTGTGCGAGCCGTTGAGCTGACAGACAACGGAGGTGAGGGAGGCCCAACACTCACTGACTCACTGACTGACTCAACTGATGCGCTCATCCACTGACCTTAATGAATGCGTTGGCCTCTCTGTCTGTCTGTTTGTCTGTCTGTCTGTGTGCCTCTCTCTCTGTGTGTCTGTCGGCCCATCGGTGCAGTGTGGCTGAGGAGCCATGGCGGCCTCCTCATCTGCCGCTGCCGCTGATGGTGGTTGTAGCTCATTGACCTCTCTCTGATCTGTCCATCTGAGCATCGAACGAGGTGACCAGCACACAGATCTGTGAGCAGCATTTTTGATGGACATAATCCTCCATCTGTCGGCTCTGTCGCTCTGTGCAGCCTCTCGTCCACCGCCTCACTCATCTGACCGTCTTGGCCCATCCATCTCATGCAGCACCACGAGCAGCAGCAGCACCCCGTGTCATATGTGTGTGTGGGCCGGAGGAGCCGCTACCTCTTCAGCGTCAAGGACGTCGTGCGGCTGAGGGCCACCTGCACCTGACTCAGACAGCTCTTCGGAGCGGCCCAGCTGAGAGATCGGCTCAGCCACTCGCTGGGCTCACAGGCGGGGCTGCGGCGAGCGGTGAATGGGCAGCAAGTGCAGCTGCTGCGGTTCGACGACGACCAGCTCGGCATACATGATCTGCTGGCGGCTGTGTGTGTGGTGGAGGAGGGGGCCTGGGGTGAGATGGCCGAGGTGATTGAGCTGGCGGGGCAGTGCGGCAACTGTGAGCTGCCTGTGACCCTCAGTGGGGCTGACATCAACACACACACAAACATATCGGTGAGCCAGCAAACAGACGGGCGGGGACGGGACGACGGGAGAGGGCCTCATTCTCTCTGTGTGTCTGTGTGTGTGGTCGTGTGTAGGCGTATGTGTCGGCTTCCCGTGTGTTGGCGCAGCTGAAGATGGTCGGCCGCCACTTTCACTTCAGTGACGGCACTTGCCTGCAGCTGTTCCACCTCGGCAATGGTGAGGTGCGGGCTATCGTCGACGAGCCCGGCTTCGAGCTGCAGGTCGACCCGCCCCTCCCTGTCGGCCACCTGTACCAGCAGCACAGACAGCCACACGACCCACCGGTGCGGAACGGCATCGGCAGCGTCTGGAGGACCCCCTCAGATCGCTATCGGGCCCGATGGGTGTCGAGCGGTGGCGGCCAAGGGCGCATCGATGCGTCAGTTTCGTCATTTGCCAAGGACAAGATCCTCGACCACTTCAGGAATACTCACCACATCAATGTCACGTCGACTGCACTTAACAGGTGACACACGGCATCAACGGCCTCAATGGGGTTGGAAGGGGCACACCACAAGTCGTTTGTTGGTGTCTGTCTGTTCAGGGGTGTCGGTGGCGGCCGTGTAAATCGCCTCCTCACCGAGTCGCCACACACACCAGTGGCCGGATGCACAACCACAATCAGCGGGGGCCACTGGGATGGTGACTGCCGGCTGGTACTCACCAACAGCAGCCACCCCTTCGTCGCATGGATTTCCATCGAACGATTCAACATCGGTTAGAATGACAGAGAGGGAGGGAGTGCTGCTGGTCAAATGTCATCGGTGTTTTTCTTTCCCTTGTCTGCAGTGAGTGTGTTTATCCACACGACAGAGGCGGCTGTGTGTGATGGAGGTCCCTTCAAGCACCGCTTCCCCGTCACCACTCAGTTGGCTCGCGTGGCGTTGGGGGCGGCGGCGCCATTCGTATTCGACAGCTGAGGCGGAGGGCGGCGGCTGAGCGATCCGTCAGCCAACAGTCAGCCAACACGCCCTAGTGGGTGCGCAGCGATGCATCCCCTCTGTCACCATGTGGCTGAGTGTCGCCCTGCCCTCTGTGTGTGTGTGTGTGTGTGTGTGTGTGAAGAGATATCGGCCCGTCCTCATGGCTGGCTGCCTGTTGATGTGGGTGTGAGTACATCTGGTGCGGTCCGATCCGATCCGGTCCGCTGCCGGCCGATTTTGATGTGATGCTGCGGCCGATGTGTGAGTGTGGTTGGCTGCCTGGGTGACTCACCTGCCGGCCATATCTCTCTCGATGCTATGGGGTGAAGTGTGTCGGCCTATGGGGGCTGTGACGGCCGTGGAGTGAACTCATCCCATGGATTAAGCATGTGGCTGAGTCAGTCAGTCGATTGATCAGGTTGTCAAGTTGCCACCGCACACAAACACATACACACTGGTGCCACTTCTTTTGCCAGTTGTCCATCGTGGCGCCCTGTCCGTGGACGGGACTGTACTTGCCAGTGTGAAGTCAACAAATCTCTTCATGCATCTCTCCTCATTGTGCACCCCAATGAGTCGCACTGTCCCATTCAGTCATGCTGTGTGTCGGTCTGTCTCTCAGCGGCCACTGCACAGAGAAGGATGGTCAACACTCACTGTGTCGGGTGACCATGGAGCAGCTCACTGACAGCAGACTAAAACACGATGCGTCACAGAACAACCGAAGAGACCTCTCTCTCACTTGCGCGCCGTCCCATCTCTCTCCTTCCCCCACACACACACATAACCATTCGGCCTCCCTCCATTTGTTCGTTCATCAATGCGCTATCTACATGTCACTCATTCACAGTCGAATCCATCCACGAGCCTGACGTCATCGGCCTGCACATGGGGGGACCCGGCCATCAACACACTCATCAGCTCATCCTTGATGCCTGCAGACACATCCAGACGGATAGATGGGGGTCTGTACGTGTGTGTGTGTATGTGTATGTCTGTGCGTACACTTGCATAAGCTTCTCGCGTGTGGTGTGCATCTCATGGCATCACCGGAGCCGTAGTTCTTGGTGAGAAGCCTCTGGGTGGAAGTGCAGAGGGACAGTGACTGGTACTCGGGGCCACACAGCTGGGAACAGAAACACTGCATAAGGATGCCAGCAAGACACACAGACCAAGTGGTGTGTACATGGATGCAGACGCCCTCTCTCTCTCTGCTAAGTAGGGGGAGTCGATTCAAGAGACCGTACCGTGAAATCAAGGCTCGTGACACCGCGTTGTTTTTTTGGATTCCATGAATGCCGCATGCACTCCTGAGACACAGAGAGTTGCAGGCATCCTTCTTGTTCGCCCATCCAATCATGCTGACCTCAGTCACAATTTTGAAGCGCCTCCTGTCTTCGGTTTGCCGACGACTGAGGGCCATGAGCTGCTCACTGGAAAAGTCCAGCATGTCGCACTTGGCCAACCTTCACACAGACAGACAGACAGACAGACAGACGGACAGACGGACGGACGGACGGACAGACGGACAGACAGACAGACAGACAGACAAAGAAATAGTGTGACAGAGAAGGAGTCGATTGCCTGATTATGCACACACACACACTGACCTCAACAGCCTCACCTGCACACAGACACACACACACACACACACACAGAGAGGGATTCATGCACACTGAACGTGTCTGCTTTATTGCGCGTGTGTGTCTGTGTGCCTTACCGCCGTTTCCAGACAGTCTGTTTCCTTCAGGAGGGGGCTGTCCTTGGGCACCCCGCTGATTACAACCGACTCGGTCTTCCCGGTCCGGTAGCGGAACCTCCATGGGTCATGCTGTGGCTGCGGGGAGCCGTTGTGCTGCTGCGGCTGAGCCATTCGCTGATGGACAAACAGGCGGCAAGATATCGTCAAGGGCAGAGAGAGGGCTCAGATCTCGGATCTCGGATCTTCAAGTTCAGCGGCGATGGCAATCCTAGTACTACTACTAGCTCGCATTGGTTCCGTGAGGAAAGGGAAAGAGCCGCAAAGAGGCCGTCAGTGTGCGACTCGCCAGGCATGTGTTTGTGCGTGTTGTCCATCCTAAAGAATGGCACAACGACCGCGGCATTTCTGTTATTTCTGATGCGTGCATGCAGCCACGGACGAAGCGAGAGGAACGTACAGAGGCACGGACAGCAGGTACATACCTGCCCACGCACACACCACGTACCAGACAAGTGAGGACACGTACATGAATGTCCCGTATGTATGTCCACGCCCCAGCACCCGGCCGTCTCCCTCACTACCTGCCCGTCCCCGTGGTTGTCAGTATGTGTGCGGTGAAGATCCCTGCCGACGCCGACAAGCACCTAAACGCATACTTTGAATATCTCAAGTATGTGTGTGTGACGGACATATGGATTTCGTTGGCATCATAGACGTACATTCGTGTGTGCGCGATGGGTGCATTCTGTCTCTCTCTCTCTGTGGCCTTTCCGTCAAGTTTGGTCGGCGATACGGACGGTGGGGCGCTGCTGAGCGAAGAAGAGTACGCAACAACACGTCTGGCTGCATGCGCTTGTTTGATTGATACACACAACACATCAACAGGTATGGCAAGTTGCAGGCGAAGGCGGCCAAGGCCAAGGAGAATGAACTCCATGTCTACTGGAGAAACACGTGTACGGACATACCCACACACACACAGAGAGACAAAGAGAGGGCGCCGTATGGCTTGTGTTGCGCATTGGGCCTGCAGCCACCGGAATGGACTGCAAGATCATCGGGCCCTCCAGCAAATGCTTCTGTGGACACAGGCGCGGCAGACACGACAGACCCCCGCGCCACATCCATCGACGTATGTGTGTATCTGCAGATATCGAGATCACGCTTGGTTTGAGACGGAGACCAAAAAGGTCTGTCAAGTACACACAGAGACATATTGTCTTTCGTATCCGTGTGCCATCGATTCGTGTTACATCGTTTGCTGTGTGATGTGTCCGCTGTATCGTGTGCAGGTGTCATGTCGCATGCAAGGGTGCCGATGTCTCATGTTTTCCTATATTCCCATCCACGGCAGCCAAGTAAGTGTCATATACCACACCCTCAACCCCACACACATCCATCCACGCGTCCATGTGTGATGGAATGGCAATGCAGGATTTGAAGTGTCGGTGCAAGCACTCATACGAGGTGCACGACGCCCGCACCAAGAAATGCACACAGCCGAGCTGCTCGTGTAGTGGATTCATCTCTCGCTTCACGTCAGCCATTCATCGATCTGCGCATCCATCCGTGTACACAACTGGATTGTGTGTGTGTATATGTGTGTAGGTGTGGGTGTGGCTCGTCCTACGAAAACCATGAGACCGTCTTCGAGACGGTATTTGACACACACCCCAAACCACAGATGGTGTGTGTCTGTCGGTGTCGGTTGTGCAGCGTCGTGAGCGACAGGCGAGGGGTCTGCCCGTCAGCACACCGGCCGGCACCGGACCGGCTGCACTCGCGGTACGTATGTGTGTGTATTGTGTGCCAAATCTATCGGATAGACAGAAAAAGAAAGAGGGAGGGAGAGAGACAGGCAAACAGACACAGGGACATACAGACAAAGACACACCTCACTAATGCATGGGTGACCCTCTTCTCTGTCTTTAATGCAGCCGACCGGCGCACTCAACAGCTACCTCTCTCTTGCTGACGGTAGGCACCGCACCCTTTTCCCCGTGTGTGTGTGTCTGTCATACACGTGTGTGCGTGCAGGTGTGGACAGGGAAGCTCTGATCGCCCCACCAATGAACCAGAAAGGCATCACTGGTATGCATTCACACACATGGGGTTGGTCGGTGCACGCCACGCTTCCCTCATGCTTCTCTCTGTGTGTGGCTTGGCTATCCGACCACCAGGCCCTGCCGCGAGAAAAGCGTTGAGAAACGTACGAGTGCAGAGAAGCGGATCGATCGATGTGTATACTATACACACACGTTTGTATGTGATGTGCCACATCAATCAATCAACACGCAGGAGAGCTCCCCTTCTTCCTCGAGTGCTGCTGCTGCTTCCAGTCCAGCAAGCAGCGTACGCACGACATTGATCCATACACTCTCTCTTTTGTGTGCATCAATCATCTCATCTGTGTGTGTCTCTGCACTCACTGCAGAGCCCTTCGCGCGCTGCTGATGAGCAGCAGGACACTATTGACCTCTGCATGCTCGCGTCGACGCCACACAAATACGCCAGCACAGGCAAGCAGACACACATACAGAGAGGGACATCAGACACTCTTGTGGGTGTCTATGTCTCTGTATCTATGTCTGTCTGTCTGTGTTCGAGTAGGTGGTGTTCCGTCGTCGTCTTCCCGCCAGCCTGCGATGGCAACACGCCCAGCCATCAGAGACACTGCTGGCAGCAGAGGCAGAAGACATTAGCTAACTGCTCGATCGACCGGATGGATTGCTGGAGGGGGGGTTTGGTGTGGGAGAGATTGCTATGGGCTGGTGGGGGGTGTGGGTGGTCCGGTTGGGCAACGTGTGTGCATTGGATCGGTAAGGGACAGACGCCATGATTGATTGATGCGCCATTTGCATACATAAGACATAGACAGGGCGAAAGGGTTCCGTCATCCGTCCATTGTGGATGGATGGATGCTGATCGATTGATTGATTGATAGTTAGGCCATTTACACACACCACACCCATGCACATGCACATGGACACGCACATCCACACCGACAGGCAGCCGGATAAAACACATACAAGTCTCCCACCGATGGATGTTTCCATGAACCAACCATCCCTCCACCCTCCCTCCCTCTCGGCGCAATACCCACACATACCCATCCCCCATCTATCTTTACCACACACCATATCACACCCACACACACACACATGCACGCAGCCAGGCACTCAGGCAGGCACGGGTGAATCGATCGATAGCAGAACCTCAGCAATCTACGGCCACACCCATATACCATACCCCCACCCCTTCCTGTGTCTGCTAGTTGGCGCTATCCTTGTGATCACCCTGACACACACACACACACACATCCATCTGTCCCATTCTCTCTCTGTCTCGCTGTCTCTCTGTGTTTGCGTCCGTGCGTACGATGAGTGCCTCTACGAATTTCTCCAGCATGTCGCTGTCGATCGTCAGAATCGAACGGTCGTAATCTGATGGATGATAATAATACGATGAACGAGAACACACACAGAGAGAGAGAGGGAGATGCACACAGCGCACGCCCTGTGTGTGGCGTGTCACGTGTGTTGTGTTGTTTGGCTTGCCTGTGTATGTGATGGCATGCTGTCCACCGTCTATGTGGTGGTGGCGCACCCAATTGAACCACTGGTTGAACGGACTGACACACACACATACATACCCACAGAGAGAGAGAGAGAGAGATGGATGAATGGACCAATGGACCAGTGGATGGATGGATGGATGGGTGCACGTGTGTGTGCTGTGGATGGTGCTGTGGGTACTTGGGGGTCTCCCTGCTCATGCCAGGCCTGTACCCAATCACACGGGCACGAGCCTCCCTGACACACACACATCCACATGTGCGCACAGATGGGTGGGTGGATTGGCATCTCTCTCTCTCCCTCTCCCTGTGTATGTGTGTGTGTACGTGATGTTGACGATCAGACACACGTTCTTGGCCTCGCCAGAATAGTTCTCCTGCCAAACAAAAACACACACACACACATATGCACCCTTCTATGTATGTGTGTGTTGGGGAAGAGAGGGTCACCATCTCCTCATTCGGCGACTTGGGGTTCTCACTCAGCAGCTTGGCCATACGGCGCAGCATCAACGGCTCCCTGACACACACGATGACACACAGGATGCCCATGCATACATCATCCACACAACACACACAAGGGGCAAGCAGCACAATCCAACGCACCCGAGTAGGTCGCAGAACTCCTCGTTGGTGATGTCGGCCTGGTAGACGGTGAAACGCATGTCGGCATACACACACTGCACACCACACACACACACACACACACAGACACACAGAGGGAGAGAGAGACAGCTGTTTTGCGTTTGTGGGTGGCGACGTCTGTGTGTGGACACGGACCTCTTGTGTAGTGCCCGTGCGGCACTGTGTCACCTACACACACATACACATCCATCCACCATTTGCACATCCATCCATCCATCCATCTGTGTGTGTGTATATGTGTGTGTGCGCACCACGTCGAACAGGGCCTGCTGCAGTGCGATGGCGCCGCTGATGCCCTCTGTCAACGCCGCACACGGGGAACTGCACCCACACAGAGTATATACAGGTCCGTCTGTATGCATTTCTGGGCGCCCTCTCTCCCTCTCTCTCTCTCTGTGAGTGTGTGTGTGAGTGTGTGTGTGTGTGCTGACCAGGTGATCGCCGAGCGCACGTCAGCTGGGGAATGGTCCCACACTGAGTGGGGGTGACACATACAGAGCATGCACTCATTTGCCCACCCATCCATCCACAGACACAGATCTCAATGTCCATACGTGTCATGAGCACATGGGCCACGTCAAGTGGTGTCATCTCGGGGAACAGCCGGTTGTCGCGGCGGTGCTCCAACTTGCGCTTGAACGTCGGATACCTACACACAACACACACACACACACACCACGACAGACACACATAGGGAGGGGTCGGTGTGTGTGTGTGGTTGGTTTGTTTACTCACTCGAGGATGGTCTCCTGTGGGTGGCCGAAGTGCTCGCGGACGGAATCGCTGGATGACACACACACACACACACATAGACAGACACAATGGATGGATGGACCATTGTGTGTGATTGGTCAGTAGGTTACTGACTCACTCTAGTTTGGTACGTATTTTGTCCTGCATGGTCTCGAGCATCTGCATCCAGCTGTCGTTCTCATACCGCTGATCAACACAATACACACACACACAATGCACACACACACGCTTACACGCATCCATCCCCCCCCTCTCTGTGTGTGTGTGCGTACAGATGTTCTGTGCTCGCCGAGGCACGTCAGACACCGATTGATGTTGCGCTTCGCCTGTGCCTGATGCCACACGCACACACACACAGACGGACACACACACACACACACACACACGGAGAGAGAGAGAAAGAGAATTAGTGCACACACAGAAATTTTCTCTCTATCTCTCTATCTCTCTGTGTGTGTGCGTACGTCTCCCAGGAAGTATCTGAGAGTACGGTAGAGAATCTCCGAGCACTGCATCGCTCTGCGAATCGTCCTGCCGACCGACACACACACACACACACACACAGACACCGACCCACACACAACACAAAGGATGCACACAGGCGTATGGTCCTTGTGTGTGTTTGTATTCGTATCGGGGGAGGGATGTGTGTGTGCTGACTGCTGTCTGTATAGCGGCAGGAGCAGGTCCACCGGGTCGATGGACAGCGCGCCCCAACTGCAACCATTCATTCATCCAGGGCACAACCACACAATGACACACTCCTCTCTCTCTTGCACCCTCTCTCTCTCTATCTGCACGTAATGTAGGCACTGACTCGATGTGTTGTTCTGTCATGAGGTTCTGTGCGGCATCGATTCTGACGCGGTAGACCCTCTCGCCGATGAGACCCAACTGCCAAGACCACACCAACGCTACCTGCTCTGCCCTGTAGACACACACAGGGAGAGAGAGAGAGAGAGAGAGAGGGGCAGGGAGGGAGAGAGATCCCCGTTGTGTGAGGAAGGTAAGAGTGCGTCAATCCTTTTCACTCCTGCCACTCTCTCCCTCTCTCTGTGTCTGTGTGTGTGTGGTGCCACTTCACTACTAAGGACACACACACACACACACATACAAACATACCCACCAGATGGCTTCAGCGGTGACGATGGCCTTGTCGTTCATCGACAGCACGCGCCTCAGGAAACACGCTGTGGGGGTCGCCTTCCACACCTAACACACAGTCACACATACACACATGCACACACGCATCGCATCCAGTTGCTATGTGCGCATCTGTCTCTGTGTGCGTCTGGGAGGGGCTAAGTGGGGGCTGCTTACCCCAGCGTAGTAGCGGTGCATCGCCACTTCGTTGGCGCGCCTGAATACACACACACATCCATCCATCCATCCATGTGTTTGTGTGCACACCAACGTGCCACACAGGTACGCCCCGCACTCACCGTAGTTGTTGTATGTGCTGCCGCCTCTTCTCCCGCCTCTTGGCACGAGCCGCCTCCTGAGTCTCGTCCTGGTCACGACCACTCTCACCCTCCTGACACACACAGACACACACACACAGACACACACACATACAGAGATAGGGAGGGAGGAGTTTTGGAGGGCTTTAGTGAGCATCCATCACCCTCTCTCTCTGTCTGTCTGTGTGTGTGTGTGTGTAGGCTGATATGGGAGGTTACCGGTGCGTCGGCGCGTCTGAGTCGCTTCCTGCGGGCCTCCTCGCCCCCATCCTCCTCTCCCTGTCCACGGTCACCATTACTACCACCACCACCACCAGCGCCTTGGCCCTCCTGTGTAAACACAACACAAACAATGGACACGCATGCAAATGATGTGGGATTCTTGCGATTCATAGGGCTGACTCACTTGCCCCTCTTGGTCTCTCTGGTTGCCGGCCGCCATGGGATCGTCGTCGTCTTCATCGTCCAGGTCTACGTCTACGTCTATGTCGCCGTCCTGACACACACACACATACACACATATAGAGCCACACTGTGTGCATCTCTGTCTCTCTCTTTCTCCCTCTCTCTCTATCTCTCTCTCTGTGTGTGCGCGTGTGATGGTGTGGATGCTCGCCTCGTCCAGGCCGTATTCGTTGGCCAGATCCTCCTCAAACTGACATAGACACACACACACACGGACAGACTCACAAGAGATGTGTGTGTGTATCGGGGAGAGGGGTGTGGTGTTCATTGTGTGCATGGTGAGGGCGCCGACCATGGACGTGTGTTTAGGGTATCTGTGGTGGTCCTGGTCCTCAGCGACCTTCATGTTGGTGTTGTTGAGCACAGTCAGGTCGAAGTGCGTCAGACACACATGCACCGACTGATGGATGCATGGATGGATGGATGGATGGACAACACACCGAATTAGTTAATGTGCGGTCCATATGGACCGCACGTGTGTTGTCCGATGCGCGCGCGCACGTGTGTGTGTGTGTGTGTGTGTGTGTGGAGGAGGCTTACGGCACTGGCTCCGTCGGCGTGTCCGTCGTGCACGTTGTCCAGGTCAAACGGACGGTGCGAATCGAACACCTACACACACATACACATGCACACATAGATGTGTGGACACACACACACATGGATGGATGGATGAATAAATGAGTGTGTGTGAGGTAGCCACCCAGATGTGTGTGCGCTCTTTGCGGCCGTGTGCACCCTCCTGAAAGTCCGGCTGCTCCACACCCGTGTTGTTGTCATCTGTATGCACACACACATACGGACAAATCCGTCCATGGGCATCCATCAATCCAATGTGGGCCTGTTTGGGTCTCTCTCTGTATGCCAATCTGTTCACGTCCGTACCGCCGAACCACAGAGGCAGGTTGGTGTGTGCGCCGAGGTTGATCAGAATCAGCAGCGGAATCTGCACATCAGCACATGTGCATCAACATGTGTGTGTGTGTGTGTGTGTCTATGCTCACATCACACACATCACATACATACACACAAACTGACTGACTGACCTCCGTAGTAGCGCTCTTCGCCAGCTCAATCGCCTTCAACTAACACACACACACACACACACAGAGAGATAGAGAGAGAGGGCTCGATGGATGCATGGATGGATGGACGGATGGATATCACACACACACACGGTTTCTTTCTTACCCGTAGGGTATCGTTGTCTTTGATGGGCGTCATGGCCACCTGCACGCCTTGAGGTATCAACATCTGACCAATCGATCAACCATACACACATACACGCACACACACACATACACGTGCATAAGGAGGGAGAGAGGGTGCTGAGCTGTGCTGTGCTGTGCTATACTGTGCGCGCCTCTTTCTCTCTCTGTCTCTTTGTCTGTTTGTGTGTTGCTGAGGTACCTCTATGAGTGTGAGCGATGCGATGCCGTCCGGACAGGGATAGTAGTAGATGTGCACCTGTGAGTGAATGGACACACACACACAAGCCCGTCCATCCATCCATCCATACACACGCACACGTAGAGAGAGAGAGAGAGAGAGAGTTCTCTCTCCCTGTGCGTGTGCATCCATCTCTCTCTCTGTGTGAGTTCACCTTTCCTCTGTGTGTGGTTGCACCCACTCACCATGTGGTGGCCTTGGTCGCATCTGTCCAGCGCACGCTTGAAGAGCGGCCAGAAGGAGCCGTACGTCACCAACATAATGATGATACTCCACGCTGCCAAACGCACACGCGGACGAATGGATGGATGGATGGATCTACACACACACACACACGGAGAGAGGGCGCATGAAGCTTTTCCTCTTTTCTCTTTCCCTTTAATTGATCCGTACGTACCACTCAGTGGGCTTCATGAATGCGTATGATGCTCTGGGATGCGATGCATGTGGATGTGCTCATCCATCCCATTCTCATCGGTCGTCAGTCCATCCCTCCCAACCAGCCACGGCCATGAGCACTACCGGATACACAACCGTCCAAACCTGCAAACACACAGCAGCACATGCGTCAACATGCAGCTGTCCTATGAATGTGGCGAATTCCCACCTACCTTTCTGCTCGCGTGTAACGCTTTTTCGCACTAAGCCGACGGATGCGAGCTTAGCTCACAAGGCGTTGGTCTTAAGGCCTTGCCTGTGCTGATCCGGACATGCCGATGGATGAGTTGTGGAGATAGATCTGCCTCACAAACATCCATCATAGGTACGCAACTGACCTGGGCCATCGCACGCACGCATGAATGGATCTCTCCCTGTCTGGCTATGGGACTGGGTGTGTGTGTGCTCAGAGCATGTGGCTTCACTGTTCTCGGTTTGTGTGTCATTGTGTGGTGACATTATTGTTCGTGTGCGCAATATGCGCACAGACAGCAGGAGCGGCAGCAGCAGCAGAGGAATCATCAGACAGGTACAGAAACTCATTGACCAGACACACACAATGAGTCATGAAACCTAATCCCTCTCTCTCTCTGTGGGTGTCATGGCTTGGCTGTAGGTATGCGATAGTGATAGATGGCGGCAGCACAGGCACCAGGGCGCACATCTACTCCTACGGTCAGCCAGCCAGCCACGCACATCAGAGGAAGACATGCACTCTGCACGTATGTATCTCTGGCTGTCTGTGGGTGCGTGTGCCTTACTTATGTGTGCAGCGTATGACGCGTCAAAGTGCGGCAGCACCGGGGGCGTCACTGTGTGGATGCCCGACACCAGCAAAAAGGTCGATAGATAGGATAAGAGGCCACGTGGCTGCCCCGACTGTGTGTGTCGTGTTGCTCCGTGTTGATGGATATATATATTTGTGTGTGTGTGTGTGTGTGTGTGTGTGCAGGTGCGTCCGGGGCTCTCCTCTTTCGTTGATGAGCCATCGCTTGACGTCATAGAGAGATACCTGGAGCCGTAAGTGACGATGGGTAGATAGCGCACCGGCGTGCATCCCTTCTCTCCTTCTGGCTCTCTCTCTCCCTCTGCGCATGTGTGTGTGTGTGTGTGGCTGGGTGGGTGTAAAGATTGCGGTCTTTCTGTGTGGAGAGCATCGACGATGCGATGCACGCGTCCACCGTCGTGCTCTTCAGGTGATCCGACAGTGCTCATCTGCGCGGAAATGGATGGATGGATGGATGGATATTTGGTTTGTGTCCTTCTGTGCGTCTGTGTGTGTGTGTGTGTGTGTTCAGGGGCACCGCCGGCATGCGCACAATGGACGAACACACCCAAGTGCCACACACACACACATACAAACATACAAACACACACACGGATGGCGATCTGAGAGGGAGAGAAATATCTCGATGCACATGTGTGGTTGCTATGCCACACACAGGGCGTCTTTCTTTCGCACATACGGGCAATTCTCTCGTCATGGCCCTTTCTCTTTCGACACGTAAGTACGCCCCCACCTGTCACCCATCCCCACCCCCAATACACACAAAATAATGTCCATCCACCCATTCCATGACGTGTGTGTCGATTATCCATCCATCCATTGATTGATTGATTAGGAGTGGGCCGAGCTGATGGATGGCAAGAGGGAGGGTGCCATGGGATGGTTTGTGCTCAACCAGCTGCTGGGCACCTTTGGCAGCGACCTCACCGTCATCAGGCAGAAACACACGTACACATACGCACTCACCCACCATACACACACATACACACACGGGGTACACACACACGTGTGTGTGTAGGCGGGCAGACGAGCAGCCAACGAAGGAGAAGGCGCCCAAGTACACAGATCACACATATACACACACACCGATCGATCGATCGATCTGCGCATATCTATGTATGTATGTATGTATGTGTATGTGTGTGTGTGCATTGGTTGGGTGCAGCCGTGCTGCGTTGGTGGAGGTGGGCGGCGGCTCTGCCCAGGTGGTCGTCGAAGTCGACACAAATGTACACACACACACACACACACACACACACAGAGGGATGGGATCCATCCATCCATCCATCCATCCATCACCTCTCTCGTATGTGTGTGCGTAGGTGTCAGCTGCGACCGAACAGCTCGATTTCTGCGGGTATGTATGTATGTATGCCCACGCAGACGGAGGCATGGGTGGGTCCATGGTACGAATGCACGTGTGTGTGTGTGTGCAGGTCGGTGTACAGCTTGTACTCCAAGAGCTATGACGGGCTGGGAAGGCAGCTCGCTCTCGAAGGCCTGGTACACACGCAAAATGGATGGATGGATGGAGGCGTGTGTGTGTGTCAATGTGTGTGTGTCAATGTACCAATGTGTGTGTGCAGGTACATACGCTCTCCAAGGGCAGACAACAAGAGAATGATTCACACACCGTCTCCTGCCTACAGGTACACATACCCACCCATACACCACACCCACACACATAGACAGACAGACAGACAGACACACAGACCGATCCCTCCCTCCCCGAAAATGCATGTGGACGGATGGATGTGTGTATGTGTGTGGTCAGCGGGGCGCTTCCATGACTTTGGTGCAGGGTGCGTGGACACACATGCATCCACACACACATATATGTGTGTGGACTGCATGTGCAGGGTCGACATACACGGCAGAAGGGCAGCCGAACTTCGACACTTGCAGACAGGTACACGGCCATCACGGACACACACCCACACCACACACACAGAGAGAGAGAGAGGGAGAGGGACGGCAGTCGGCACACACACACACATTCTTGCACCCATCCACCGATCTGTGTGTGTCCGTAGGATGTGGATCACTTCGTCTTATCGTCGATCGATCCGCTGCCTTTTGTGCTGCCCCCGCACACCGAGATATACGCTGTCGAGAACTACTACTACTTCAACAAGGTCCCTCCACATACACACACACACACACATACAAGTGTGCACCTCTCTCTGAGTGTGGGTGTGGGTGTGTTCAGTATGTGCGTAAGGACGACAGCAACATGTTCACCATCGCCGACTTTGACCAATTGGCCGAGCAGCTCTGTGGTACACGCACACACAAAATGCACACAAAGGCGCTCTCCACTCACACACACACACGCATTCACATGTGTGGGCATATATGTGAATGTGTGTGTGTGTGTATCATAGCGAACCTGTCAGTGGATGAGGTGGCGATACGCATCCATCCTGAGGCAGAGAGGGAGAAGGCAGAGACCGCTTGCTTCGGGTGAGTGAACGACGGACACACGCACACACACACACATGTGCGCACCCTGCGTGTGCGCATCCACGTGCAGGCTGAATTTCCTTTCGCTGCTGCTGACTCGTGTGTTGCGGCTGCCCCCTGAGCACAAAATGCATGCCGTCCTTGACGTACACACACACACACACACACGGATGGATGGATGGCCATCGTGTGTGTGTGCAGATTGCCAACTCATCGATTGCGTGGCCGGCTGGTGTGGTGGCACTGACATTGCCAAAGATATACAGAGGTAAACGATGAGCGCGCTCATCTAAATTTGTCTGTGTACATGTCGGTCTGCCTCTCGATGTGTGCAGATGTCTTGCATGCGGCAAAAATAAGAGACGAGCTTTGATTGAGGTTGTGAGTGTGTGTGTGTGTGTGTGAGTTGTGTGTGTCCATGCTCATTGATCGATTGCTGGGCAAGTGTAATTAGGTCTTTATCAAGTAGGTGGGTGTGTTCGTAATGTGTACAGACATGTGTGAGACATTGCCAGATAGGCGATTCATTGCATTTTGGATGCTCTCAACAGTGAGATCCGCGCACACACATTCCCACAAAGGTTCGGCTCACACAGAGACATTCCAATGCTATATATGCACACGCACACGTAACAATGTGTATTGCTGGGTTAAGAGATGAGAAAGGTAGCTAGGGGCTAACGAATGAATGGGACGCTACCATGGATGTCTATTTATAGCGAAAGCGCTCCCGTTGCAATTAATCTCGCGTACATCTGGCCTCAGCAAGGACGGCCAGCACTCCGCAGCCGACGCCATGTCCAGTACACCAATTGACGGCTAGGCACGCCTCACTCCCTCACCGCGCGTGTTGCCAAGGTTGACACCCTGACATACGAGCAGGGACAGAGACGTCGGTCAGTGTCTGACCGATTGTTTCTTCTTTCCCGTCCCGCTCATTTGCGGTGTGAGAAACAGTAGGGCGGAACCGCTTGTTTGTTAGTGTACCTGATCTTGGCTGGTGCCCTTCGGCAGGGAGCTGTGCAGCAATCTGCTGGGCGAGGATGCGCTGCTTGAGTGCTGCACGACGGGTGGTAATCTGGTCGAACAACCCGATGGCACTAATCGCCACAACGAACCAGAACTCTCCAATCAGAACCTCCTTTGTGCTGGCTCCAAGGGCTCTTCGCCTTCGAGTATCACTGTTTGTCGACATGAAATGTGCCACCAATAATGACGCTGTCCACAATAATTCAATCAACAGGCAACAATACTCATGAGATGGTGGTCACTGTAGGTGGTGTGGGAATTATCATACGTACCGCCCAGGCAGGATTACAATTTTCTGGGTCTGAGAGAAGCTTTGCCAGTTGCCGCTTTCAGCCGTGAGAGGGTGAAACTCCTAAGACATACACATACACACGCCTACACGCCTGTGCACCTTCGACAACATCGACAGTCTCTCATGTGGCTCTTTCCTACACTGTCTTGTCTCTCTCTTTGTTCTTCACGCTCGACGCATAGACCCTCTCTCTCTCCCTCTCTCTCCCTCTCTCTCTTCTTGTCTCTCTGTGGGTTTTCAGTCGCACTTGGGCACGTCGTTGAAGTAGAATTTGGTGATGGCGCCGTGGTTTTTGGTCTCAACCTTGGCAACCTCCCACTTCAGGAACTCGTAGAACGTCTCCACGGTGTTGCGGTGCTTGGTGGGAAACTTGACAGGCGGCCACACGTCGCCTTTGGTTGTCGGAGGCCTGAATCCCTGAGAGACATCATTGCATATACACATCTCTTCTGTCCAATTGCTTCTGTCTATGCAACTGTGTCTTAGCTGGTGGACGAGACTTATAAAAAGGATGGTCCGACCTCCATGAGGGAGGGCAACGATATTTTTCCACCCGTTCGGCGTCAATTGTTCGGCGTCACACTGTCGAGGGCCAGGGTGCACTGAAAGGCCTCCATGACATCGTTGACGTCGATCTGGTCTTTGTGGCGCTTGCACGTCTTCTTGAACGCTGCATATCATTCACAGACACACACACATCTCCACTTACCCATCTACCCCTGAAAGCTGCTGCATACCTTGCTGGACCCTCGGTTTGGCTTGAAGCTGACCCTTTGATCTGGTGTCGAAGGTTGAGCGCCAGCCGAACTTCCGCGTTCGGCGCTTCCTTCGAGTGCGGCGGATGCCGTCCTCGTCGCTTGCCAACCTGCTCAGACATTCACAATTTCACATGCAGACCACGCACGCATTCATGAATCAGCAGCATGTCTTGGCTGGTCGTAGGTGTGCGTTTTCGACTGACTGGCTTCGACTGGCTAGCTGCCTGGCTGTCTAACTGGCTGGCTGTTGAGGACCGACTGACTGACGGTTTTAGCTTGTCTCGGTTAGCCGTTCATACCCGAGATCGTCGAGGAGGCGCTGCTTGAAGTCAGGGTCGGGCTCCGACTTGGGGATTTCCAGGCCGCCTCCTAGACCGGTTGCCTCGTCGGCGATTCCTGCACCATCACATTGTACAGCCACGTACACACCAAGTTTGGTTTGTTTGTAAGTGTGAATTTCCCGACCCGCTACCGGCGTCTCTCTTTGATTGCCTGTCTGGCTCATCTTAGTCACCCCTCCCGTTCGTTTGTGTGTGTCTGATTGTGCTGCCTCGGCTGTCTGGCTGCGAGCGGTTTACCTGTCGGTCCTTGGTTCGGTAATGTGTCGCCTCTTTGGTATTCCTGTAGTATATCCATAGAAACCGCTCTACGTCTCTGTTTGAGTGGTAAAAGCGCCGTGTACCCAGAAATATCTCTTTCCGCAGTTGAACTGTTCAGCGATGATTGTCTCCGAGCAGCCAAGGTTGATGATGTGCTTGAAGGCGTCCAGGTAGAGTTGCGTGTCTTTTTTGTACGACTTGTCCTTCTTACACAGCGTCAAGCACTCTGCAGCACTCACACATAGAGAAACACATATATATACACATATACATCCATACCCTTCTCATACTTTGACAGTCTCTACTTTTGAGTGTACTTTTGTGCACGCGCTTTTTGTGCTGTTTCAGCTTTGAATCCGGTGCGTCCCACGTGGACTCCCAGGTAAGGTCCTTTTGCTTTTTAGTTGAGGCTCTTCCTGTGACGCCACACTTCTTGATAGTCTGTCGCCTGGTGGGTATACCAAATACAGTCATCGCATGCGTGCGTCATCTATGCAGTCTGGCGTGAGAGCTTACATTCGCTTGCGGGACTTCACGGTGCGTCACGGGCAGCACTGCCTGAATCCATAGCGCCCAGCAGAACGAAACGCACACAAAATCCCTCCATGTGTCCTTCCTTTTGCATGACTCCACGTTTCTGTGTGAGTGTGTATGCGTGTATGTGCCATTCATGCGCAGTTGGGGCTGCGACCAGTTTACCGATGTATGTGAATGATGTGTTGATGCCGGTCATACGTGGCATCTCGCGGAGGGCGTTGTCTTCAAAGAAGGCCAAGTTGAGCCCAGGGCATGTGTCGGTGCCGGGAAACATTATTCGGCTCATGTCGTTGCGTCACGGGGGCTTGCGGTGTCCGGCCAGTCGAGTTGTCCCTCACCGATGAAGTCGTCTGCCAACGCACATTTATTCTTTCATGGATGCCCTCTGTGTGTTGTGTGTGTTCGTGTATTTGAAAGAAGGAAGGCGAGGACCTGCACGCGGACGTCAGGCAGCTGCTCACCCAGTTTACCACCCCGATGTTCTAGCCGATGTTGTCAAGTCCTCATGACCGCACAATTTGACGAGTTTCTGTGGCTCGCCGTTGACGGTGTAGGTGATGGTACGCCTGTCTCACACCGCCTTCTCCTAGTTTATCAGGCGCCCCTCGTAATTTAGCCTGTTTGTCGGGCTCGTCTGGCGTCTTGTGCGAACTGTTGATATACCAGAGTGGCTCGAAATGTTGGTTGGACCATATGTCGCCATTCATAACGCCCAAGCTGTGAAAGTCGACGTTGCGGCAGGCGTCTACACGTGGTTCGGGTCTGCAGACAGACACTTTTCATGTATTGTGTACATACGGATAACGCCTCTTAACGTATGTACCTCTCCAACAGCCGACGGAGGGTCTTCGTAATGTACTGCTCTGCTTTGTACCGCTCTGCTTTCCGCTGAGTAGTCACATGCGGGACCAAATGTGCAATGAAAACACCAGAGAGGCTGCAAATGGTTGCACCCTAGGAAATGGTGCTGCTGGCGAAAATCCCTTAGCCGGCGTTGAGTGCGACGTCACTCTTTCTCAGAGCCAGGCAGTATTGGAGCTAGGGGGTAGGCGTAGTCATCGCTTAGTTTCTTCAGCCTGGCAACCATAAATATCTGGGTCAGCGACTGTGATTTTGATGCAAAGCGGATGATGCGAGAAAAAATCGAACTCTCCCTTGTTGCGCTGCTTCAAGCCGAGTGCGTCGAACAGCTCACGGGCGATCTCTGTGGCCTTCTCGTAGGACCACTTTAAGTGTATCAGCTCCCGCTTCACATCAAACCCCAGTCGTCACGGTCTTGCTGCCTTGCTTCTCGACACGTCCCTGAATGAATGACACACTTTCGTAGCTAGCACACATACAGAGCACTTCTCTTTCTCTTTATGTGGCTGACCCGAAAGTTAAGGAACCAAGGCTTTATGGATGGGAGGAAGTGAGGGGTAGGGAGAGTGGAGGGCAGATGGGGTCCGAAGTGGTCCCGAGCTCGACCTCGTGCGAATGGATGTTGAAACCTTGCGAAATCGGGCGAACTTGGAGTGATTATGTTATAATGTGAAACTCGAGTGCATCAAGTGATCTCCAGACGGCCACGCTTGACACACATCGTGAAGAGCCGAGTCGTACAGTCGATGGGCGAGGCTAAAAAAGGAAACACATACACATTGAGGATCCGCACATAGAGAGACCTAGCGTGTCCTCTTACCGCTGTCAAAAGGGGTGACGTGAAAGAACACCCAATGCAGACCTTTTTATAGAAGAACATCATTTCTTCTGCTTTGCTCTCTGTTTTACAGGCACAGAATCCTGATGACTACTTTTGCGGTATACACGCGCATTTTCTGTGCATGCATACATAAGAGCCTGATGAATGCTCGGTCTCTCCTGTAGTTGCTGATGGCGATGTTGATATTGTTGATCACCAAGTTGTTGCGTTGATAGATGGTCGAACAGCTCAGACACCGTCTTTCATACGAATGACAACATATCGCCTGGACACAAACAGCAGCATATAGCTCAACGCCACATATAGCTCAACACCACCTGCACCACACACGCACAGCACTGCAAGGAATATGCGTCGACCGAGCTGAGTGCGGCGCCTACCTGTGGAATGTCATGTAATAGTTGTGGGTCTGGCCGCAGTCCTCGTGAGGGCAGTGCAGATATTGAATAACGAACTCTACGTTGAGCGGGGAAGCTCGTTGGCGCCGAACACCCGCAGAACGGTAGGCCGCTTATTGACGTCTAAGTATTCATTGCCATGCCTGTCCCTGTCGGTCAGAAGGCAGAGAGAGGAAGGCAACGCAGAGCAGGGGAGATCATGTGTGGGGTGTGTGTATGTATGTGTGCCGGTTGTGTATGCAGGGTGCTCACAGAATGACGTAGGACAGGCCAAAGACTCGCCCGCAGGTCCTACACATGAGCCAACAGAAGTTGACGCCCTCATAGAAGACCGCCGGAGCGTCGTCATCACCTGTATCGTCATCACCTGCATGCACACACAGGCAAGGAGCGAGAGAGAATGCCCAGTGACGCCCAGTGAGGCCACCATTTCTCGACCTCCTCCTTTCTCACTTTCTCTAGAACCTTGAGTTCCTCCCGTATAACGGCGTTGGTCCCGTCGAGCTCAGTGAAGAAGGCTTTGAAGTCACGGGGTGGAAGGCATGCGGATTGTTGCACGTTGAGTGCACGCCAAGCCGTTCATGACGACTTACCGCAGAGACAACTGGAGCGGCTGCAAGAACACGTCGCCGGTGGCCACGCCTGGCCATGGGTAGGCTGCAATGACCTCCTCCGATTGCACGCCGGAAGTACGGGTGGTCGGCGTCCAATAGGAGACGTACAAAGAGACCTCACAAAACTCACTCTCCAATCCTCGCGACATGTCCTCCAAAGTGGCAGGACATACTCCTTCAATTCAACATCCCCTCATCCTCAACAGAGACACACAGTGAAAACGTTACCGGCACGCCATCCGTCACCTCGTTCGAGCTCAACAACCTCGCTCCGACCCTGTTACACAGAACCATTGGATGGAAGATCAATCTTTCAAACACAGCTTACGGTGCAAGAAGAGGCAGCTTAGGCTTCACCTTGACCTCCGGCTTAGCCTGGAATACCGAGCCGGTCTCATTTGAGCTTGCAGCGGGATAGAGATGATGGGGGAAATCGCTGGCGTTCGATGAAACCTCGTTAGGTCTGGAAGAAATAGATTTGACTGCTGATATGTGCACTGCCGACCCTCAAAGGGCTACACAACATTCCTTCACCTAGTGCACATACCCTGCAGGCCCGCCATTGTCCACAATATAGTTAGACGCAACAAGCCCCACCCCGCTTCGAGCATAGCGTCGACATCTTGATCGCTGAGAAAAAGGCACGAATGAAAGAAATCAATTGCCTCTGCCTGATTGACTTGACATGCGTACCTTCTCGTACTTCCGCATTCAGCTGCACAATGTCACAAAGCTGCTCATCCCAAAAAATGACATGTGCTTGGTCTGCATATGAAGTACAGGTGCTTCAGCAGCTCGATGGATACGGCGGATTTGTGGGTGGGCATGATGCCCAGGTCATACGAATAGCCTTGCCAGAGATACCATACAACCTGCATACAATGAACAACCACGAATAAATTTTCGTGTCTGCGTCCGTGTCTGGGCATACCGACTGAGAGTAGATTGGCAGCCACCATACCGACTTTGAGTGTGATAGGAAAATCGAAGCATTCCGCCTCTTTGAGGCATGAGTCTACTCCCCGCCCATACACACGCACGCCTCGCTTTGCGACGCTAGAGCAGAAAGTAACCACGCACTCGCTGTCTTCTAACTGACTGACTGACAGTAAGTTATTGGCCAGCCCGGGCACATACAAGCATTCATCCATCCGCAGGGTCCGGCGCGACCCATCACGCGCCAGCAGTGGGAGGTCCACCTGGCCATCCGACATCATCGGCAGAGTCGCGCCGTTTGCCACTCTTAAGTGTCTTCTTCTTCGTGTTGTCCTGACGGACACAGATCTGAATGCTGTGCACGTGCAACACTGTGATGCTCCGTCTGTCGAGTTGCCGATGCAGTACATGCCCCGGGCGTTGACCTCTCGCCTGATGCGAAGCCATCGTCGGGTGACGTCGTCAGATGTGAAGGTGTTGTCGGTCACATACACGGCAAGGGGAACAGCAGGCTTGACATGAGCTGCAGACGTAAAAAGCGGCTTCTTTGTTCCCTTTGGCGACGGCAGTCTCCCGTCTCAGCTCGCACCTCGACTCTCGACGCGCGCGGTTGCAAACACACTACTAAGGTACTGACGCAAGGAAAGACGCACAAAGGCAGAGAGAACAGAGACAGAAAGTTGTCAAAGTCCTGGCCAAAACGCAAATTCCGACGTGGCCAGCTTCAGCTGGTTCGTCCTTCCAAGTGTGGCGCTTTGGTTTGTGAGCGATCCACTCCACACATTTCATCCACGCACGTTGATCTTTGACCAATCCTTGCGACACATGTGCTCGCACACAAAATATAATGTCTGTACATCATGCCGCTGATTCCATTCGTATACGCACAGGTCACCGCCGCCGGAAGGCCACAGCTGCCGGCGGCATCCGTATACACACACGCAGGATGTCCGCAGTGCCCATCTAATGCATTGTCCGTCCCGGACGTCTCGCTGCCCCCGGCCCCTCCTCACTCAGAGATGGCTACACCACACCGAGAGAGACTGAGAAAGAAAGTCACAGACAGCTGTGCTCAGCCCCTACACAGTGAGTGATCTTCTTCAGGCTTCAATCAACACGCGGCTGGACGCGATTCAAAAGCGCTGTTCGTACAGCTGCGTCCGTGGTAGCCGATGCGTATTCAGCGACCTTCGGTCTGATCGAGTAATCCAACCCTGGAGGAAACACACACGCACACACACACACACATCCCGTCTCTGTCCGTCTGTCTGTCTGTCTGTCGATGGCGGTATCCATTGCCCTGTCTGTCTGTTACCTCTGTCGTCACACTTCACTGCACAGCTCATATCTAAACCACACGTGCGTGCATGACACACACACACAGAGATGGCAGGCAGACAGACAGACAGTGAGTGGGTCCATCCGGCCTCTGTTGGTATGTGCAGATCGATCATAGGTAGTTGCTCACAGAGGGTAGACACTCTCAATGCGAAATCCTCGGCAACCTTGTCTGAACCAGGCGGTCTGCAAGCAGCAACAAGACAGACCCACGTGCGCACACACATTACACCGACGCACAGCACTTACCTCTTGCCCTGCAGGATTTGGAACAGGATGGCTTCGGTGTCGGCCAACCACTGCAAAAGCTCCTCGTCGGTCGGAGACGGGCCGACCTTTCCCTGCATGCGCTCCTGTGCACACACATACACACAAACACACACACACTGAGAGAGAGAGAGACTACACTACAGATCTCTGCCCTTACCGATACGGCAGACATGTCATCGAAGGCCTCGGCGCCGCGTTCAAGCGTGAATCGCTGCGTGACGGCTTGGAGAGGGTGCTGGCGCATCCGAAGGCGTCCACTCGGCTTAGCGGCGATACCGCCTCTCTGGGCGACTGGTGTGAGGAATGCCGTCGACGACTCTGCCGCTGCCGCTGCTGCTGTCAGGGAGAGAGCGGCGATGCGAACGTGAGCGGAAGCCCCATAGAGCCTCAAGAATCCTCCACTGCTTCTTGAGGCGCGCGTGCACCTGCCAGGCTGCACATGCAGATCTTGCTCCCCCAGATCGTTCGATCGTGGCTCTTGACGTTTCGCTGTGAAGGTGCGAGCTCTGGCATGCGAGTTACGATCCATGGAGTCGTTCCGTACGCACGTTGATCTTTCACACCGGCGCCTTACGACACATGTGCTCGCACACAAAATATAATGCCTGTACATCATGCCGCTGATTCCATTCGTATACACACACGACAGCACACAAAAGCCACATAGGTCACAGCCGCCGGAAGGCACATCGTCGTCCGATCCACCATGGCCGTCTCCTGGATGGTCGGCCTCTCTGCCTGTCTATACATACAAACAGCCCGCGACACACGCTTCACGCGTCGGCGACGGCCACCCCCCTCTCTCTCTCGTTCTCTTTCCTCCTGGCCGACATGCGCTGGATGAACCGCTCGATGAGTGCGTTGACCTCTGAAGGCGACTCGTCCATCGGACAGTGTCCGGTGGAGCCCAACACCTGCGATATACACACATACACACACACACACACATAGAATGACTCACATGGATGTGTGGGTGTGTGGGGTGGGATGGATGGCAATCGGCTTACAATGAACTCTTCGACGCACTCGAATTGCTCGTAGTCGCGGCCCTGCGGAGCACATGACATCACAGCACAGCACACGCATCTCCATCAGACACAGGTGTGCGTGCGGATCGGTGTGGTTCGTGCACACACCATGTCGATTGGCTCCCAAGGGTCGTTCTCACCCCATGCAATCCACCTACATCACAAACACACACGCACACACACGCCAGTGTATGCGTGTCGATGGGTGTCGATGAGTGCGTACACTGGCACATTCGTCTGCGGCAGCAGGTCCTCTGGGAGTGGACCTGAGTGGTACACACAGAGACGGTGGACATGAGGGAGTGACCACCCCATCTTCGTGATGCGTGTGCCTGCCGTCACCAACACAAACAACACACCGGATGAGTAGGAAATGAAGTCAAGGAAGACCTCAGCAGCACCGGGCAACAGACCTGCAGTCATTTGGCCGTACACACACACACACACACACAGCACAGAGAGAGAGAGAGGGAGGGATGCACCGCCACACTCGTGTATCCATGTGTGTACTTACCAGGTGTCAGTATTGCATCGACCAACTCGTCCGTGACCTGTACGTGTGCGTGCACATCCATCCATCCATCCATCCATGTGTGTCTGAGTGTGTCCACGTTCATGCGCACTTGTGTGTCATCGAAGTAGGCCTGTTTGAGCACATTGCGCACTGTCTCCTTCTGCGCAATCTGCCCACACAAAACAGCACCACACACACACACACACATGGCACAGTGGATGGATGGATGGATTGATGGGGTCCATACACACACACACACTTACACGTGAGAAGAAGAACTGGCCGACTTGGGTCTCCCGCAGCACCCACTGAAGCCTGCATGCACTCCCACATCCACGGGCGCATCCGTTTGTGTGCATGTGCCCGTGAATGTGTGTGGATACCCACCCTCGCACAAAGGGCCGCTGCAAAGGCGACTGCTTCCTGCATGCATGCATTCATGCAACCACACACACATCGCTTATCGTGTGTGTGTGTGGAAGCCTGATCCGCACTCACCGTTCGTTGAGGAGCCTTAGAGAGATGTCCAGCAAGAGCACTCCGTCCACCTGCGTGAATGTGTGTGTGGGGGAGGGAAGGGGGTGCATTGCAATCGACTGTGGATGTGTGGGTGCTTACTGTGTGTGGGTAAGAAACAGCCTGCTGCAGACCAGCAACGCCCCCCACACTGACAAGACATGCATTATATACTGAATTGGTGTGCATCCATGTGTAGCTACACGCGTGTGTGTGTGTCCATTTCCCTGTGTGCTGGGGGGTTCATCTCTCTCCCTCCCTCTGCGCGTACCTGTTGCACACGAGATAAGTGGGTGACCGGCTCCCCCTCTGTTTGTTGTTGACCACCTGCAGGCACTTGATGGCCACACACACACAGACGTCCACACATACCACATCGGCACACATAGATGGATGCACACACACACACACAGACACGGACCTCTTGCGTGAAGTCTCTCAATTGCTCTGCCCACACCTAACCACAACACATCACAACACACATCGAGAAACACATACAGCGATATGCATTCGTACGCACATACGTGGAAATTGTAGATTGTGTTGGGAGGCAGCTCTCGCGGGTTGGGCTTGGCACTGTACCCATAACCTGCACACACACACACACACAATGGACACACACAATGGACACATCAATGTGTGCGTCTGCCTGCATCGATGCGTGTGCACCGCACCGAGTAGGTCGATTGTGTACACATTGGCGTTCTTCGCCAGGTCACGCACATTCCGCCGCCTGTCCACACGGACACATACACAGGGATGTTTGTGTATGTATGTATGTGTCTATGTAGGTCGATAGTCACCAATGGTCACAATTGCCGCCGAAGCCATGCACACAGATGATGGACGGCACACCTGCACACACACAATACACCCATCAACCACTCATGCACACAAACGTGTGCATATCACACACAGACACACAGGCGACCATATGGACCTTCTCGCTGTCCCTCGCTCTCGCACTGCAGGAACTGATATCGAATCGGCAGCTCTCGCATCTCACCGCCTGCACACACAGTGAGAACCGAGACCCATACGCACAACCATAGCCCTAAGCAGGACACACACATACCGATTTCCGGCCGCCAGTGCCAGTAGTCATTCTTGATGCCGACCAGCGAATACGCCTGCACACACACACACACACACACAGACATTCATCCCACCCACAGTGCCTTATGTGAGTGGCGCGTGTACCAGTGTACACTCACAGGGTAGAGCGAGTGATCTCTTTCGTGTGCACTTGGTGGTTGATGAGCTGCCTCCGGCGGCTGTGCATGCCTGACACCTGATGTGCACACACAATATCACGCACACACAGAGAGAGGGAGAGAATGCAGGCGCACACATGAATGTATGATCTGGCTATGAATGCCCTCTGTGTGCACTCGTACCCATGTTGGCTCTTCTGCGAATGGCCGGCCGCCTGATGGGTGTGCGTGGATGTGTTTGTGTGAAGCAGTGGCAGTAGAGGTAGGGACCGATGACCAGCACCAGCACCAGGGACGGCAGCAGGGAGAGATGGCGACGAAGCATTGCTGTCATCTCGTCACTGCATCATATGCCTCGTTTGCCAAGATCTCCAAAGATCAGATCTTCCCGTTCCCTTCCCTCTTCCGGCTTAGCTTGCAAGTCTGATCGTGCGTCCGTGCAACGACGCACAGCCGAATACCCTCCCTCCGCCTAGTCCCGATGGGTGTGTCGCATAGCCACCTCGTCGCCAGCGTAGAAGGGGGAGTCATCAAGAGCGGCATGGAGTCCGGAGATCGCTTTTCGGAGAAATCCCTGGACGTCAAGCAACTGCGACGTGGTCAGCTGCTGGATCTGTACAACTGCCTGGATGCCCAAGGCAACTTCAAGGACGAGGACAGCAAGAAGCGGTTCAGGTACCGAGTGAGCGTCTACGAAGAAGAGCAGCGAAGCGACAGGATCATTGCGGAGGTGTTGCGTCAGTGGTAGATCCGCACGCAGCACACGTGGGCACGTGGGATGGGATCAGCGACAGTGTGGTGGTGTGTCCCTGATTTGTCGTGTTTCAGGGAGGCGAAGGAGGCGGCCCACGAGTATGCCGAAAACGCCCCGTCTGACTCGACAGCCGAGGGATCTCCTTCCTCTGTCGCATCTCCCTCGCGCCGGTCTGCTGATCCCACCTCGCAGACGAGTCCGGCCGCAGATGGTAATGATGATGCTGACTGCCCGCAGCTCAGACAGCGACGCAAGCAGCACCACAGGGGGGAAAACCAGCAGCAGAAGCATCAGTGCGAGGCGCAGACGGACGATGAACAGCTCACGAAGCCCCTGCTGAAGTGCTGATGGCCGTCAAGGCGGTCGTGCACGTCACCGGGGGTCGCATCCGGGCCGTTTTTCGATGCATCGGGCTGACACAAAAGAGGCCTTCACTGGGTTGTTCTAGCCACTGGAGCGGGCCAACGTGCGGGTTAATCCGGGGGCCGTCCTCGCCCTGCCCTCCTCAGCATCGTCGCACCACTCGCCAGCCCACACACGTGGCGCCATCGCTGCCAACCGCTTCTCATCCGCTGGTGAGTGGGCTGGGCGGTGTGGCTGTGGGGGGGCGGGCGGGTCGACGCACTCACCCACTCGTCTCCCTCTGTGTGCTGTGCATGTCCTTTGAACATTGATAGGGTCAAGCCAGCAGGACGTCCCCCGCACCAACCTGTTCACCACTTCTCAACACAGCAGCAGGCCACCACCGGCAGCACCACCCGCCGCTGCTGGTGGTGTAGCTGTAACATCGCCGCTCAACCACGACAGCAGC